TTACCTGTCAGGCCTCTGAGTCCAAGCTAAGCCATCATATCCCCGTGACCTGCACATATACATCCAGATGGCCTTAAGCAACTGAAGAGCCACAAAAGAAGTGAAAATAGCCAGTTCCTGCCTTAACTGATGACATTCCACCATTGTGATTTGTTCCTGCCCTACCCTGATCAATTGACTTTGTGACAATACACCCTCCCCGTCCTTGCGATAATGTACTTTGTGATATTCCCCCACCCTTGTGTATGTACTTTGTACTATACATTTTCCCCACCCTTGAGAAGGTACTTTGTAATATCCTCTCCTGCCCTTAAGAAGGTACTTTGTAATATTCTCCCTGCCCTTGAGAATGTACTTTGTGAGATCTACTCCCTGCCAGAAAAAAATTGCTCCTAACTCCACCACCTATCCCAAACCTATAAGAACTAATGATAATCCCACCACCCTTCACCGACTTTTTTCGTACTCAGCCTGCCTGCACCCAGGTGAAATAAACAGCCCTGTTGCTCACACAAAGCCTGTTGGTGGACTCTCTTCACACGGACGCACGTGACATTACCCAAGCATGGTAGCACACCCTGTAGTCCCAGCTACTCGGGCTGAGATGGGAGGATTGCTTGAGTCCAGGAGGTGGAGATTGCAGTGAGCTGAGATTGTACCACTGCACACCAGCCTGGGCAACAGAGTGAGACTCTGTCTCAAAAAAAAAATTGAAATACTAACCATAGGTTAGATAATTTTTAAATTAACATGCTTCATAAAATAATATATGGTACATTCTGTCCTGTATGACCAAAATAATATGCCATGCTTCAATTTCACTATTGGTATTACTTTAATATTAGTTTTATTACTTTAGAGGCAGGCAAATAGAATACACTATCCCTCCCTTGCTTGTGGGGATGCTGGATTTCTAAATGGCGGTGTCATTCGTGTCTATACCAACCATAATGAACAAAAACTGTCTTTGCAGTGGAAAATGATGGTCCCCACATAACTCTTTCTGGTCATGTGTTCAATAGTCAATAAAAAGACACTTCGGCTGAGCACGGTGGCTCACGCCTGTAATCCCAGCACCTTGGGAGGCTGAGGCAGGTAGATCACTTGAGGTCAGGAGTTCAAGACCAGCCTGGCCAACATGGTGAAACCTCGTCTCTACCAAACATACAAAAATTAGCCAGGCGTGGTGGTGCGTGCCTGTAATCCCAGCTATTTGGGAGGCTGAGGCAGGAAAATCACTTGAACCCAGGAGGCAGAGGTTGGAGTGAGCCAAGATCGTGCCACTGCACTCCAGCCTGGGTGATAGAACA